CCCTTCCTGCAGAGCATCTGAGTGTGGTGCTGTGCTGCCAAGAGTGCTGGGGGAGCAGTGGTGAGGTTACATATCCCCAGCCACCCTGACCCCCTGTCTCCTCCTTCTCCCTCCTCCTCCTCCATGGCTTCAGTTCTCACATGTCCTTCATGACATAAGCCATTGACATCATGTTCTTTGACAGAGAGGTCCAGACGTTGAATCAGGCAAACTCAGACACGTGCTTGGGCACAGTTGAGGACTTCTGGCAGGAGAGGGAGGGAGGGAGGGAGGGAGGCACCACCACTGCTTGTTCCTCCCAGTAGAGCTTGTGGCATCTTCTGCAGTGGTGGCAACTGCCCAATGGCCAAGCTGGTGGCAGTGAGGGAGGCTGGGCTGATGGCAGGGCCCACGGCTGACATCTGCTTTGGCACAGGGGTCACTGGAGCCGGGTGAGACGCTGCCACTGAAGCTCAAGTGGATCCTGCGCCGAGAGTTCTGGCCCCAGTTCCAGAACTTGCTGAAACAAGGCACTGAGGTGGGGGGCACGCAGGTGTCCCAGCAGTACAGGGGCACGTGGGTGTTACAGTGGTATGGCAGCATGCAGGCATCACCCTGGTACAGGGGCACACAGGTGTCATGGTGGTACAGGCACATGGGGGCATCACCACAGTACAGGGACATGTAGACATCATGGTGGCACAGGGGCATGTGGGTGTCCCCAGGGTACAGGGGCAGGGTGCGTCACCCCTTGGCCACTGCTCCCACCGGGGAGGAATGTCTGGGGGAGGTGGAGACACGCTGTAATGGCCTCACACCATGCAGGGGCCTGGGAGGCAGCCCAGGGACCCCAGGGGTGAGCTGCACATACAGCTGTCTGTGCCTGCTGTGATCATTCTCCATGGCTCCAGCTGCAGTGGGAACAGGGTGCTGGTCTCCAGCAGGGCAAAGGAGCTGTGGGGTGATGCCCTGCCACGTCCGGGGCCTCTCGGTGCCCTCAGAGAGGTAGGCTAATGTGTCGCTCCTTCACCTGCACAGATACACAAGGGGTACCTCGACGACCCCCGCAACACAGATAACGCCTGGGTCGAGACAGTTGCCATCAGTGTGCACTTCGACAACCAGAACGATGTGGAGATGAAGCGGCTGAATTCGGTATGGGCCCCTCACTTCCGCAGCTCCCTGACCTGGATCTCAGCAGGCATGGGGCAGGGGAGCCAGATCTCCAGACCCAGATCTCGCCCTCATTGGGAGTGGGCTTCTACAGCTGCATGCAATGGAGAAAGAACATGGGGATGAACATGGGGTGGCACTGCACCAGGGGCCCCAAAAAGAAAGGGCAGGAGGCTGGGGACTGGAGGTGCTGTTGAGCATGGCTGGCGCGGCCCCTTGCCAGCAGCATATACATGATGTCTCTGGTCCCTTTCCAGTTCCTCCAGGGCTGTGATCCAGAGCTGTGCATCCGCTGGCAGGTGCTGGACAAGAGGATGCCTTTGCATGCCAACCACAAGGAGCTCCTGCACAAGGTCTCAACCCTCCTCGGCGCCTACTACTGAGTGAGTCCTCAAGGAGCCAGGGCTCCTGCTGTCCCAGACCAGGGTCTGGTTGGGACCTGCAGCTCCACCACAGCTCACCTGTGAGACCATGGGCAGCTACTGGAGACTAGGTACTTTGGCTGCCTCTGTGGATGTACATTGCAGGTCTCTGGGAGGAAAACTGTCCCCACCCCAGCAGCCGGGGCCAGGGGCTGCCTGGGCAGTGCCTACGCAGCATCCTGGTCACCTGAGCCACCAAGCTCAGCCCCAGCTTGTCTCTCGGTGCTTCCACATCAGCCACAGCACTAGCCCAGGGCTTGGGCCACGCAGAACCACAGGGCTGTTCCTGCAAGGTGTTCCTTCTCTCAGCTCCCACTTGCTCTTTGCTTTAGTGTGGGCAGTGGGGACTTGTCAGCCCCAGCTGCCCCTCCACCCAGGATATCCATTGGGCACCTCTGCTCCACAGCTCCTGCTCTGAGCCCTGGCAGCTCCCCTGCCACAGCTCCCAGAGGGTTACTCTGGAGAAGGCTTGGGGTCTTTTGCACCTAAAGCTCCTGACTGCCCTGCAAGTCACTCCTGTGGCAGCTGTCCCCTTATCTCTGGTTGCCTCAGACCCAACAACATGGTCCTGAGCTGTGATCCAGCACTTCTGACAGTGTGAGCAGCTCTTGGCTTATATACCTAAGGTTTCATAGCTCTGCACAGGTCCACCTGCCATGTCCCATACTGTTACGTGATCCTGCGTGTGTATGCTGAGCACCATCTTGTAGCTGAACTCCTTCCCTCTGTCTGAGCCAAGGCACCAGCTAAATGTCACCTGCCTGCCCCCATCCCCTTGTGCACAGGGACGGAAAGGGGCAGCTTGCTGGGACCCAGATGATCCATGCTCTGTGGTCCCTTGGGCAGGTAGGGACAGGAGAGAGGACATCAGTGCATCCATCCCAGACATCTCTGCTCTTAAGAGGTCCTTCACTCACCTTTTCTGTTGCTTGCCATGGGGAGAACAAGGCACGGTGGAGACATTTCTCGATAGCACAGAAGAGCCCCACAGTGGCATATTACGCCTGGGACTGGTCAGGGAGGGATTTCTGTTCCCCCACCCTCTCCCAGTGGATCAGACACTGGCCAGCCAGGGCTGTTCTTCCCGCACTGGTGGCGACCACAGCACAACTGCAGTTTCACCAGTGATGCACTGGGGCTTGGCGGGGGGGCAGGTGTCAGACTGGCAATGTAGTCAACCCAGCTCAATAAACCATGTATTAAATAACTGAAGGCTGGTGGTCTGTTACGGCTGTTTACCCAGGGGCCATTCCTGGAGGCAATGCTTGGAGCGCACTTCCAGGATGAGCCCAGTTTGAATGTTCCCACCCCCAATCTTGTTGCACAAACTCACTTTGGTTGCAGGCTCAACCCCCAGTGCTGGCTGCAGAGATGACTTGACGCGTTTGGAGTCAATGCGAGGAGCTGCTGGAAAGCGAGCTGTGTGCCAAGGCGCTGCCACAGCACCGTCTCCCTTCGCTCTTGGCCGGCTCCATGTCTGCTCGTGCTCCGCCGACCGCCAGCGCAGGCGCGGGGAGGGCCCGGCCGGGGGCACGGCTGGGGAGGGAAGGGGCGATCGTGCCTTACCGCAGCGGGTAAAGCTTCCAGACTCGCAGCCCGAACCGGCGAGCAGCAACTGCATCCTAAGAAGAACCGCTGAAACCTAACCGCATCGCTCAATTACAGCACCAAAGGGGTCCGCGCAGCCGCTCGCCCACAGCACCCG